CCATTGCGGGCACATTATGCGTTAGAAAGAACGCATGTTTTTCGAATGGGTACTATCGAGTAGGCTGGTCCCATGTCGGTGGGGAAGGGCGTGTTGGATAGTGGGAGTGTCGTTTCAGTTGGCACGTTAAGCATCGTTTGTTTACTGTACGTCGGTACTTTCAAAATGGCGAGTCTGTCGTTCGAACGTGCGTTTCGCGTACACTTTCGTGTTCCACGTCGTGGGACAGTACCAGACCGTAACACCATTTTGAGATGGGTGGAAGCACTCAACACAACAGGTAATGCGAGGAAGAAAAAACCGCCAGGGGAAACCGTACTATTAGAACCCCCGAAAACGTAGACAGAGTGAGAATTGACACGCAGCAAAGCCCGAATCGTTCCGTCCGTTTGCGTGCCAGTTCCCTGGGATCCACGCGTCCTCCGTACGTCGCATCTAGAAGAAGGAATTAGTGTTCCATCCTCACAAAATCCAAGTTTGTGAACAACTGTTGCTAGCGGGTTATGCACAACGTGTTAATTTTGATTGAATAGTTGGATAACAATGACATGACTTTGTTTATGAGTGATGAAGCACATTTTCATCTACATGGATACGTAAATAAACAAAATTGTCGATATTGGTCTCCAGTGAACCCCCCACAGTTGCATGAGCACCCCCTGCATTACCGAAAGTCACAGTTTGGTCTGAAGTAGGCCCAATGATGATTATTGGCCCTTATTTTTTCCACATGCTGAACAACTTTTTTTTCCGGAACTTCGACGTCGAGTTGTCCGTCTCAGGACAGTGTGATTCCAACAAGATTGGACAACATCGCACACAGCTCGCACATCGATGAAACTTCTTCGGCAAAAATTCCCAGGACGTCTCATTTCACGTCATGGCGATATTCCATGGCCCCCTCCCACCCCGGACCTATCAACGTGTGATTTTTTTATGGGGCTAGCTGAAATCAAAAGTTTACCAAAGCAAGCCTCGGACCCTCGTCGATTTGAAGGAGGAAATAAGAAGAGAAGTAATCCAAATTCCTGCACGGATGTTGGCCAATGCAATGGGCCCACTTCGGGAGAGGCTTGATTTCTGCATTTCGGCTCAAGGGCGCCATATGGCCGAAAGAGTTTTTAGAACGTAAATTTTGCTTTACTCAAAAAAATGGTACGTATTTCTGAGTATTTTGATATAATAAAATATTTTTTCCCATACTTATTATGTCTGTACTACTCAATTAAAAAACATGCTTTTTTTTTGACGGACCCCGTATAAACTTTTCTTCAGGAAGTTATCCGATGAATCGTATCCAGAAATGTTAGCACGTCATCAAGGAAATCATACTAACTTATCAGTTCTTAAATTATATTGCCAGTATATTCTGTTAGATAAACGTAATATAAGCTCTCAAATATATTTGCTTCTTGTTCTAACGATTAAGAATACTGAACTTGGAGTGCAAATATTTTTTTGATGTTACTACCTATATCTGGCAAATAGCCTCGATACCTAAATTTGGCTCTAATTATGAGGTACTTTTAATAGACCAACTAATCATGTTTCGTGTACACCATTACTTGGCGTGTGGAGAGAATAAATAGTTTTAAATGAAGAGACAACAGTTTCAACCGTAATTATTGTAATTACAGTTGATGAATGTTTTTTACAAAACATTGCCTGAAACAGCAGTTGGCAATCGATCATTCAGTACATTAAATATCTATATTTTGAATTTGTTGTAACTCTTACTACCATATTATTTATGATCAACTTGACTTTGATAAATGATGATTTTTGGCAGATCGTATGGAATATACCAAAACTAACTTGTTTTATGTGCACTTGCCAAGAGTCTGTTACACTATTATTCATCTTCAACATAAAATATGTTTATAGGTAATAATCCTCAGATTGTATTATTCCGTGATGATTATACAGGGTGTTTGGTGCATCGTTTGCCAAATTGAAATGGCGGACAGGGGATGTCTTTTTCTATCACCCCAGGTCCCTCAAACAGTTTTTAGCCCAACGGCATTAATTATGTAGATTTTTTTTTTAGTAGAAACTCCAAAATGTAATACACAAAGTGAAATAAAGAAAATAAAGAGTATGTCCACCTAATGTTTAATTTAGCTTAATGGGTGATGTACCAATCTTACAAAATCAACATTACTTGCCAGCAGCATGTAGTTTTTTATTTGTAAACTCACAAAGGGTTACAAAGAAGAACAAAAAAATGTAAGCCTCAATTTTGAATTTCTGTAAAAACAACTAAAAGCGTTCACGCTCTTAGAATTCTTTTAAAAGCAACTCTAGTTTATCCCGATTCTAACGGTATGCCACAAGTCACAAAAAAGTTTAACCAACTTATTGAATTTGCAAATGTTGTGTACAGGGGAAGAAAAATAAAAAATAAAATCAAATTTCAATCATTTACTATTTCACAAATCTTGTTCGAATTGTTGTCCTCTATTGCGATAATTATCTACATTTTCTGCAAAATAAGTTCCCGAATTGGTGAATGAGGTGCCAATTTTCAATGGCGACAGACGAATTGTGTTCCAACATGATGGCTGTCCTGCACACTGGGGGCTAATTGTGCGGGAAACATCTGAATGATGTTTTTCCGAATACGTGGATTGGACGAGATGGTCCTATTCCATCGCCTGCACGCTCCCCAGACCTAACTCTATTGGATTTTTACATCTGGGGACGTGCAAAAGCACTCGTCTACGTGACAGAAGTTGATCCGAAGAATAAAAGAGGCGTCTGGTACTTACAACTGTCGAGATAAGACAAAGGTGTTGTGCGTGCATACGCAATATAGGACAATAATTCGATCACGATTTGTGAAATAATAAATGATTGAAAGTTGATTTTACACGTTTTTTATTTTCCTTCCCCTGTACACAACATATGCAAATTCAATAAGTTGGTTAAACTTTATTGTGACTTGTGGCATACCATTAGAATCGGGATCAACTGGAGTAGTTTTTAGAAGAATTCCAAGAACGTGAACGCTTTTAGTTTTTTTTTACAGAAATTCAAAATTGAGACTAACATTTTTTTGTTCTTCTTTGTAACCCTTTGTGAGTTTCTAAATAAAAAACTACATGCTGCTGGCAAGTAATGTTGATTTTGTAAGATTGGTACATCACCCATTAAGATAAATTAATCATTAGGTGGACATACTTTTTATTTTTTTTTATTTCACTTTGTGTATTACATTTTGGAGTTTTTACTAAAAAATATTAAAAAATCTATATAATTAATTCCGTTGGGCTAAAAACTGTTTGAGGGACCTGGGGTGATAGAAAAAGACCTCATCTGTCCGCTATTCCAATTTGGCAAACGATGCACCAAACATCCTGTATATAGCACATATTTTTACGTAAAATGTAATGAACCATCCATATACCACATGACTGTCTTACATGATATGCATGTTAAGGTGTAATTATGTGATATAAAAACAAATTTCGGAGTGATATAGTCTTGATCACGCCTAGGAGTGAGCGGCATGCCTCGTTGAAATATGTTGTTTCTTTATAAAAAGGTATCAATGAAAATGCTATAAACTTCTATGTATACTAAGTGACATATAAATCCGAACACCCAGTTTAAATGGTTTTATTTTAATAAAATTTTGTATAAGTACTTAATGAAGCATAATAAGTAAATGATAAAAATTTCAAAATGATTGCACTGCTTTAAAGCCCTTTGACCTTTGATAATGTGTGGATGCACCCTGATGTGCTACGCATTCTCCAACGCGCCTAGGCATGCTTCTGATCAGGTGGTCAATGTCCTCCTGTGGTATCTCATTCCAGGCAACCACCAACTCCTCTCGAAGTGCTTCTAGAATCTGAGGAGGACGTTGCAAATTGAGCAATCTCCTACCCATCATATCCCACACACAATCTTAGACGGCGATCTTCACGGTCTGTTGTTCTACGGCGGCGTCCAGTGCCCCTTGCTCTTTGCGTACGGCCTTCTCGAAGCCATGCCTGACAACACCTAACCACAGTGTCTACACTTCTTTGCACTCTAACTGCAATTGCCCGAAAAGAAAGTCCAGCTTCCCGAAGTCCCACTATACGGCCCCTATCAAACTCACTAAGTTGACGAAACCGTACAGGTCTGCGTACTCTAGGCATCGTAACCGATCGTAAAGGATGTCAAGAACCAAAATCCGCCAACGTTGATTCTTTACTGCGGCTGAAATACTCATTTTTAGAGCGTTAGTGAATTAAAAAAAAGCAGTATAAAAACCGGAATGTCCAACTGATAAGGCTGAACATTTTTTCACTTGTTATTTACAGTAAGATAAATACATTCACCAACTTTTATTAAAATAAAACCATTTAAACTGGGTGTTCGGATTTATATGTCACTTAGTATACATACCGTTCCATCATCGTATTTTTATTTGGAAAAAATGAGTGAATTTTCTTAGTATGTATGTACAATTCTGATGTGTAACTTAGAAAGTGGCATTATACAGTATATTGTGATTTTAATGACCATATGTAGGTTTTTCGGAAAAAATGTCACCTTGAAACTATCTGTCTTTCGCTTCATGTCCACTTATACTAGCTGTACCTGTCGCCTAAACTCCATGACACTTGAGCCTTAGGTGGTTCAACATCGGATTAACAAGGTTTCTTTAAGCTCCTTATCCTAGCCGCGGTGCTCCGGTATTTAGGCTTCTGCCTACGCGGCTGCTTCGGTATCAAAAAGGGGCGGTCATACATACATTATACCGTTTTTTTGCGTAATACCCATGCCAAAGTATCTATTGTGTCACCCTATGCTTAATACTGTAGTTTCAACTGTTTCGTGACGAAATAAAATGAATACGATTTCTCAACCTGGGTATGGATAGGTCACTCCTCAATCTAACGCAGTCACACTCCAAAACTGTTTATGTAGCAATGCCTCAAATCAAGATAAGTGGTAGTGGTGACCAGTTCATAAAAATACAAGTAATTCTAAGGAACAAATATTCTCACCTGGAAATCTGGCGATTCCGGTATGAGGAAGCCCTCCCTAAGCCACTGCACGTTGGGTCTGGGCTTTCCAGAAATAGTGGTTTTGAACTGTGCGGGGCTTCCTTCGGGTACAATGACATCCTTCATCGGTGTCAAAGATGGTGGTACTTCTTGGGTTTCAGGAGCCAGTACCTTCAAACGGGCCTGAGTGCTCACCTTGCCCACTGGATTCTCTACTATGCATTGGTACACCCCTTCGTCTTCAGGGAAAGCTTCGGTTATCCTCAGCACGCAATAGTCACCTTCTTTGACCATCTGGAAGTATCTGGATGGTTTTATGACCTTGTCTCCTTTTTGCCATTTGGGAGTTGGGGTTGGTTTGCCAGTCACCTGGAAATAAGATCAGTTAAAGAATAGATAGCTGCAGCCGGAAAGTTTTGGGGAAGTTTCGAAAAGTTTTCACTTTGCTACTTCGTCGTTTTCCGCTATCTCTATCATTTTGCGAAAATGGAATCCTGACAAATTGTCACTAGGTCATATAATTGCTGTTCCTGTTGAAACGTTTGAAAAATGGCTTCCAAAGAAGGTGTTTCGACCATGTTTTTAGCCAGATTCTTTGAGTAACATAGATCTATGGTAAATTAAACTAGAGAAAATCCACTATTCTGGTTTTGTGAGTCTGACGGTATTTGCGTACGAGTTACGATCGCAGCAAAGTTTAGAGAAGAGAGTACTAAATGATTGAATTAGTGATCGATTTGCCCTATATTCATGTTAGATTACTTCGCCGCTACCGTATACGAAAACTGTTAATAATAATTGTAGGGAAAAAGATTTTCGTTTTTTAGAAAAGCGTACATAGAAGGATACCAACATTTTAAAGCCTCTCCAAAGCTTTCCAGACAATTCCCGTTTCTGGCGCCTTCTGAATAGAAAATGAAGTCATGGTGGCCTATTTTGGTTTAACGAGTTTAAGGAGAAGTAATAGTAGTTATATACCTTGCATCTGAATACGACGGATTGCCCCTCCCTGATGGTCTGATCTTTGAGAGGCTCTACTAGAGTTGGTGCTTTTTCAGTACCAGGAGTAGTAGGCTTCGATGGTCTTTGCGGAGTTGTTGGTCCTTGGACGATACATTCAGCTTCGCATCTAGCTTCACCACCGTTGTTCATGGCTACACATTCGTACTTGCCGCTGTCTTCAGGAGCTACCTCCAGTATCAGTAGTGTGTACATCTCGTCTTCCTCGAGGATCTTGTATTTGATGTCCGGGGTGATTTTCTTGCCATTCTTCAGCCAGTATACATCGATGGGCTTAGTTCCATCAATTCTGGCGTCAAATCTAACAAGTTGACCAACCTTAGCATGGTTACTCTGGATGGTTGTGGTAAAGCTAGGTGGTACAACACCGGCTCTTCCTTGTCTGCGCCTTTCTTGGACTACCAAGTTGGCGCTGCATTTGGCAGTACCTGAAAAGGACAAAAATATTGCATACCGACTCTTTAGATGTAAAAGAAGGAAAGATGCCTAATTTTCTAGTACAAAGACGTTGATGATATTGATGACGAAGTGCTCGAATAGCCTGTTTCGGTGAAAATTTCAACTTACCTCCTCGGTTCTCAGCTACAACGCTGAATACTCCAGAGTCTTCCATAAAGACTTGTCTCATCTGGAGAATAGACTTAGTGCTGAAGGTGTAGACCTTGAGATCTGGCGAGCTGGTGATGGGGAAGTTTTCTCTGTACCAAGTAATCTTTGGCAACGGGTCACCATCGAACTCAACCTCGAACTTAGCTTGGTCATTTTCGAAGGCTCTGACTGGCTGGATTTTTTTGGTAAAGAAAGGTGGAGTGCTTGGCAGGACTTGCCCTTGTACTACCCTCTCTTGAGTCTTGGCTTTATGCTCAACGTCAGTGGTCTCTGTCGCTGTGATGTTACGCGTAATTTCAAGGTCACCTCGTTGTTCCTTTTGAGTTTGCTTCTGCTTGGTGACGTAGATTTCTCTACCGTGCACGCCTGATTCTGTTGGTTCTGGTGGGTATGCTCCTGACTTTGAGTCGATTTCAACCTGTTGTTGTTGCTCCATCTCCCTGCCTTTTTCGGTCTTTCTCAGTCTGACTTGCTCCTTGTGTGGTACCGGTTTCGGTTGCTCGGCCTTTGGTAGTCTAGGTACTGGTTGAAGGCTGGCCTCAAATGGCTTCTCGTCCCTTCAATAATTAAAGCAACGTATTAGAAAACTTACTACAATATATAGTTGTATAGATGTTTCGGTTTTAAGCAATTATCGAACTATTTGGAATATCTATTCATTTTATCCGATTCAGTTTAGAGATCAGATGACACAAGAGTGCATGAAAGATTCCATGACTTTTGATAGAGGATCTACCGAGAAGCAAAAATTGAAAGTTGACCCATGTTTACAGCAGTCAGTGCAGTGGTCAAGAATACTTTTTAGTGATGTATGAATAAGTACATACAAAATGATATTATTTCCAAAATAGAGTTTACTTACAAGCTTTCTTCGTATTGTTGAGCCATTCCCCTGGTTACTGTACTGCTGGCGATCTTCTCTCCAGGAATAGCAAACTGATGTGACTGTTCCCTTAGTTTGATCTCCTTTGTTACTTGTTCGTTCTCTAGACTATGTATCTTATTGTAGTACTCTTCTCCCTTCTTGTTCTTTGCCATCTTCTGCCATTCGGTTTCTTCTTCTTTGAACTCTTTAGGTTGAACGTGGATGCCAGTGACGTGTACGCCACTTTCTCTCATGGCAGTGTTACGTTCATCAAATATTTTTTCGAGCTCTGTATCTTGACGCTCTTTTTGGTATTCGGCTAATTCTATATCATACCAAGCTATAGGAAAACGGATTTGTCAGTAAGGTTTGGTACACTGATTTAATTTGTCATTAGCGTTATCTAAGCGAAAAGGTCTGCACTATTACAAAAATTGGACAGACATGCTAAATGCTCCAAACCTATGAAGTGTTCGACATGGACATTTAACGCTAAAGGTTGATGTAGCTTTTAGACTTCATACTACGTTTTTTTGGCCAATAGTATCAAATGCATAATTAAAATTAACGCTTCGACTGCTGCTGAAAGTGCGAGTGTGCTACAAGGGTTTTAGCTCAAATATTTTATGGAATTTGACAGATTTTATAGTTGAAATAAAATGACTATGCAACACTTTAACAAGATGCAAATTGATGCACCGCTGGAAGTTCGATGAAGAAGTCACGTATTCCAACGGATTTACTTCCGATTATTCAATCGCCACATGCCCAGCAACGAAAACATAATGTAATAGACACCAAACTAAGTAATTTTTATATGCTTGCGTAAATATTTCAACAACAGTTAAGAGTCATTGACATTGTGATGTGTCCGTGTCTTCTAGTAAAACTGTGTTATTATTCCACAATCCATTTAAACACGTTGCAGTGTGCCAATTCTAGTACGCATTAGAATAAAAAACGATGTTCAAGAATCTGTGTACTGCTATTTTTTTAATCTTAGGTTAAGAGCAGATAGTATAATTGACGACACAACAACAAAATGCACATTGGCGACGATTACTGAACATGCAGAATATTTTAAAATCAACGTTGCATACCTGTTAAGGAATCCCCATTGAGAAGAAGCATGTGAAACATCCTCTCCATTGGCAAATGCTTAAGCTTTCTTGGATTCTTGGCTCGGATTGGAGAACGGAATTTGGTGAAAAGGTCAAGGTCAGGGTGGGGTATCATAAACTCGTGTTAGAGTGCTAGTGGTTTGCTGGTATGCATTTTTGCTTGTCAGTCGATGATGTGATGAATGTGCATTATGTGATGTGATGCCGGTGAAGGTGTCAAAAAGTTTGTTGCTCCGAGGCGCTTTGTCAGAAACTCAGGATATTCAGTGGAAAGCCTCGCTTTGGCCATTTTGAGAAATGAGTCAACAGCTAAGAGTGCCTTTGAAGCAACCCGACACAATCACCGGACTATGTATCTGAGTGAAACCCTCGTGTGCCGGTGTTGTGTCCCACACTTACGTCTAGGCGAATTCTTGAGCACGCCTCTGTAGTCGTCATGCCTTGGGATGATATTCAGCTCAGTCTCAGCAATGGCCTCACCCACAGAGCTGCGAGCGATGACCTCAACCTTGCCTGTGTCGTACTGACGAGTCTTTGGGATATCCAAGTGGTACATGCCGTCGTAGGTTAGGCGATACCTCGAGCCACTAACCACGGTGTGGCCGTTGATGAGCCACATGACCCTTGGCCTTGGGTGACCTGTGACGCGGCAGCAGAATCGAGCCCATTCACCCTCTTCTACTGTTACAGGCTCTGGTTTGCTTACGAAGACTGGAGCGGATCTTGGTTTGGCCTCTTCTTCGGGCTCTTCTGGCACACTAGAATGAAAATTCAGTATTCGTCAGTCTAACATTTTGACATGGATGGTTCGAAAGGTTGTTTAAAGGAGGTCAGTCACGCGTACTGCTGGTGAATTTATCACTTCTGTAATCAAGTAGGCAATAATCTGGTATGCATTTTAGCACGACACTATCCACCATGATGAAATGCTGTAATGTGCTTCCATGGTGGGATGCATGGCAAACGACAGGGATTTTACTGAGTATAGAAAATTCTTCTTCTAATGACCATTACTTATATAAATTTCTTTTAACTAATTGGATTTGGGGTCGAAAGAAACACAGTTTCCTGTTATAAAGTTGCCGACGTTTCGGAACAGTCTATTTACTTCTTCAGGGCTGTACAAAGAAATTAAAACACTAACTCTAAGCATAAATGATAAAATCTAAGATGTGTATAATGTTGGATTAATTCGAATCATTTTATTTATTTTATTTTTCATGTATGTATAAGTTGGGAATTGTTATGTTGTTAGTGAAATTGTCTTAATAGTTCATTTTATTTAATATCTTAATTAAAGTATCTTTACATCGATTTTGTTGTTTAAATTGTTAAATGTATATTTAAAATTTACATTTTGCTGTATGTAGAGCCCTGACGAAGAAAATATACTAAGTGACATATAAATCCGATCACCCAGTTTAAATGGTTTTATTTTAATAAAAGTTGGTGAATGTATTTATCTTACTGTAAATAACAAGTGAAAAAATTTTCAGCCTTATCAGTTGGACATTCCGGTTTTTATACTGCTTCTTTTTAATTCACTAACGCTCTAAAAATGAATATTTCAGCCACAGTAAAGAATCAACTTTGGCGGATTTTGGTTCTTGTCATCCTTTACGATCGGTTACGATGCCTAGAGTACGGAGACCTGTACGATTTCATCAACTTAGTGAGTTTGATAGGGGCCGTATAGTGGGACTTCGGGAAGCTGGACTTTCTTTTCGGGCAATTGCAGTTAGAGTGCAAAGAAGTGTAGACACTGTGGTTAGGTATTGTCAGGCATGGCTTCGAGAAGGCCGTATGCAAAGAGCAAGGGGCACTGGACGCCGCCGTAGAACAACAGACCGTGAAGATCGCCGCCTAAGATTATTGGCCTTAAGGTCCATTGCAAATGAATGGTTTGCAGAACACGGAAGACCTATTGGCATGCGAAGTGTTTACCGACGAATGAGAAGTTTTGGCTTGTTTTCATACCGGCCACACTGGGTCCTCCCTTTAACTCGAGAACACCGACGTAATCGCCTTGAGTGGTGCAGACAACGGTCACTCTGGGATCAGGAATGGAACAGTATTGTGTTTAGTGACGAGTCTCGATTTTGTTTAGGCATGCACGATGGTCGTGCCAGGGTTAGAAGGCGACGTGGTGAAAGGAGGAATCCACAGTTTTCTGTTGAAAGACATGTTCATCACACTGTTGGAGTTATGGTTTGGGGTGTTATAGCTTATGGTTCCAGGTCACCTTTAATCTTCATCAGAGGTAACATGAACGCGCAGCGTTATATCCACGAAGTTCTAGAACCCCATCTTTTACCCTATCTTAACACCCTGGCAGATCCAACTTTCCAACAAGATAATGCCCGACCACATGTTGCAAGAGTCACAATAAACTTCTTTCAACATAATGATGTCACATTGTTACCATGGCCACCAAGATCTCCCGACTTATCCCCAATTGAGCACGTGTGGGATATGATGGGTAGGAGATTGCTCAATTTGCAACGTCCTCCTCAGACTCCTCTAGAAGCACTTGGAGAGGAGTTGGTGGTTGCCTGGAATGAGATACCACAGGAGGACATTGACCAACTGATCAGAAGCATGCCTAGGCGCGTTGGAGAATGCGTAGCACATCAGGGTGCATCCACACATTATTAAAGGTCAAAGGGCTTTAAAGCAGTGCAATCATTTTGAAATTTTTATCATTTACTTATTATGCTTCATTAAGTACTTATACAAAATTTTATTAAAATAAAACCATTTAAACTGGGTGTTCGGATTTAGATGTCACTTAGTATAAATTATTCTGAAACGTCGACAACTTTGTAACAGGAAGCTGTGTTTCTTTGGACCCCAAATCGAATTGATTACAAGAAATTCAGTGAGTAAGCAGTTCCTGGGAATCTTACACTTCGGACAGCAAAGGCTAAAGAAATAATCTACCAAGCTTTAATGCCTGACAGTGACTGTTTGAAAAAGGGCCCAACTCATACGGAAAAACATGGTATCCTTGCTCTTTAGTCGATAAAATCGAGGTCATAAGAAGGATAGGCGTGGTCTCTAATGGGCTGAATATCCTATATAACATTTAACTAGGGAGGAGCTACCAAAGATGTATACATCTGACAATAAGTTTTTCAGGATTTTCGGATGCAACTACCTGCAGCAGGTCATGAGCCTTTGTTTTGGGAGTTACGGAATCTAGCGCATTATAGTTCATCCTGAATAACTTACACTTGCCAAGCTGCCTCAAGCTCTCTGATCTTCTCAATACTCTTCATGCCTTTAGGTAGTTGAGAGTCATAGATGATTCCTGGTTTGCCAGTTGTCTTGATGATAGCTCTTGTTTCGTCCATACCGTATAAGTTGGTAGCACGGCAAACGTATTCGCCGCTGTCCTCTGGATAGATCCATCCAAAGTTCATCGCTACGTAGCCAAAGTCATAAATTGGTGTAAATCTGTTTTCTGAAATTAAAAATGATATCGTTGGCTGAAATTCCGCAAAATGAGAGCTGGAGTATGAAATTTTTTGATCAATGATATACTTACTATGTGGTAATGGTTTTCCATTGAGGAACCATTCGACCTTCATATTGGGATCACCCACTGGTGCCAATTGACACTCAAATTTTGTGGTCTGCATCTCCACAAGATCCGTCTGACTCTGGATTTGAGTTACAAACCTTGGTGGCTGTTTCTTTTCTATATCGTACAGGTCATCTTCTGTCAAATGTATTTCAGAGGTATACTTTTTGATTGCTGCTTCCATCTGCATCAGAGTTTCAGATTTCTTCATTCCCTTTGGTACTTGGTTTTGTAAGATGATGTTGGGGAGTTTCTTGCAGGTGATGTGTGCTTTGGTGAAATCTTCGCCATAGTCGTTCACAGCCCTGCAGACGTATTCGCCAGAATCTTCAGCGTAGATGTAGAGGATATCCAGGGACACAAAGCCCATGTCGAACACTGTCTTGTAGCGATGGCCAGATGGCAGCAATTTGCCATTCCTGTACCACTCGATGCGTAGTTTAGGATCATCTTTGGGTTCGACGCGACATTCGAATCGAACTGATTCGGATTCTTCTATTGTCGCTGATTCGATCTGAGTGATGAACTTTGGTGGCGAATACGTCTTTTCTTTCTCTGGAGGGACAGAAACTGGGCCTTTCTCAAGTTCCTTTAGCTTCTCGGCGCTCATGCCAGAAGGTAGTTGACTTTCGAAGTCGATGTTGCGTTTGGCCTTGCAGGTTACCTAAAAAATATGATGCATCGTTAAGACTGCTTTGGTATTGTATATGAATATGGTAAGCTATCAAAACTAGGGCATAGCCCAAGATGGATTTCTTGTAGAAGATTGATGACCAATAAACCTATCAGTAGGAAGTAAAGCGTATACAAAAAATACCTTAGCCTTTGTAGTAGCTGTACCCCACTTATTGGTGGCTCTGCAGATATATTCTCCAGCATCACGAGTGTACGTGTAATCGATGTCCATAGATATGAACCCGAAGTCAAAGATTTGGTGAACACGAGAACCTGTAGCAAACGGACGGCCATTGTGGAACCAGTCGATACGCATTGTTGAGTCGTTGGTGGGTTCAACTTTAGCATCAAAGTGGATAGGACTGCCTTCCTCAACATCCAGGTTGTCTTTGATTTCAATGACGAACCTTGGGGGATTTGGTTTTTCTTCCTCACTCAATATTTCTTCTCTCTTGTGTAACTGTTCTTCTAGTTTCTGGATGCTTTCGGTACCGCTCCTGAAGTTGGAAGGTAGCTGTGGTTCCATGATGATGCCCTGTCTTCCCTTGACTTGCAGTTGACATGAGACGGATGCTTCACCATGTTTGTTGGTCGCTTTGCAGGTGTACACGCCAGAATCTCTTTGGTAAACTCCGGCGATTTCCAGGATGACGAATCCAAAATCATTGATGGTCTTTATTCTGGAACCGGACCACAGTGGTTTTCCGTTGTGGAACCATTCAACCCTCATGCTTTGATCATTGACTGGGATCAACCTGCATTCGAAGTGAGCGAGACCGTTTTCGGTCATTGTTAGATCTGAAGGAGTAGTAATGAATTCTGGTGGCTTGCCAGTGTCATCATCTGGACTCATTGGAGATGGTGCTGCACCCAGACCTTCCAGCTCGGCGATCTTTTCAATGGTACCTGTAACAAACATGGCAATGATTGGAAGGGTCATGATGGAACCTGAGAATTAAAGAAGAGGTAGTAATGGAGGAAACATACCTTCCATGCCTTTGGGCAATTGAGATTCCAAGATGATGCTTCTCTTCCCGGATATTTTCATCGAAGCAGTAGTGACAGCTTCTCCGTACTCATTGAACGCTCTGCAGGAGTACTCTCCAGAATCTTCTGGATACACGGGAGAGATTTCAAGGATGACAAATCCGAAGTCACAGAATGTACGGAACCTGGAACCAGTTCTTAGTGGCTTTCCATTCCAGTACCACTCAACCTTCAAGTTGGGGTCATCGGTTGGAGTCAATCTCGCTTCGAAGTGACAGTTCTCGCCTTCGCGTAGGTTTTCGATGTTCGATAGAGGTACTGTGAATACGGGGGCTTTTCCCTTCTTGACTTCTTCGGTTACTTCTCTTGTTCGTGACATCGAATCTTCCAGCGTTTGAATTTTTTCTAATCCACCTTCCATGCCCTTAAAGCAAAAAAATATTGATTCACTTGGTAAACTCAAAGCAAGTAGTATGTACCAAAGCAAATGTACTCGCATTAGACAAGAATTTCAAGTTTAAGCAGTATGAGCCCTTACAAGTTATTGTTATGACTTGAAGATTGAGCATTGGCTAAAGATCAGGGCGAAAGGTTAACCTCCAATTTAGAAACGTTGGTGAATGCTTACCCGCGGGAGTTGCGAGTCCAGGATAAGATTCGTCTTCGAAACACATTTCATAGTAGCCTTAGTAGAGTCTTCCCCATATTTGTTATGTGCTCTGCATTCGTAGACTCCAGAGTTTTCTTCATAGCAATACAGAATATCCAGAATGACAATACCAAAGTCATGGAAGGTGCGATATCTGTGCCCATGTGGCAACTTTTTGCCATTGTAGTACCATTCGACGACCAAGTCGGGATCGTGGACAGGCGTAAGTCGAGCCTCAAAGTGAGCGCTTTGTCCCTCAACGAGTTTGGTGACGTCTTGAATTTGAGTGATGAACTTTGGTGGTTCGGTGACTGGTGTGGTAGGTGTTTGGGCTTGCTGACCTTGCAAGCTCTCCAGTTCTCTGATTTTGGCCAGTGATTCTGGTTGTAAGCTGTCGCTAAATACTCCTCCTTTGCCATGTGCTGAGATTGTTGCTCTGGTGAAGTCCTCGCCATATTTATTGTATGCTCTGCAGACGTACTCTCCAGAATCTTGGTCTTGGATGTAAGAAATGTCTAGAACGACGAATCCGAAGTCTGATACGCTCTTGATTCTAGAAGATTGCAGCAATGGTTGACCATTGTGATACCATTCTACCTTCAAGTTGGGATCATTCACAGGAATCAGAGTACATTCGAAGTGAGCGGATTGGCCATCCTTCAGACCCACTATATCCTTGATGTGTGTTGTGAACTTTGGTTTTTGGCCTGTGATCCTCTCAGTACATTCTAGGGTTACGCTTTGTTCAGCCATACCCCATTTGTTGGTAGCCCTGCAAGTGTAGGTGCCAGAGTCTTCGATCTTAGTACCAAGGATTTCTAATACCACCATTCCAAATGCATGGACGGTTCTGAATCTATGGGAAGCTTCAATAGTTTTACCATTATAGAACCATTCCACTTTCATGGTTTGGTCTCCAATAGGTGTGAGTCCAGCTTCAAAGTGTGAGATCTCACCTTCACTCAGGTTGGTAAGGTTTGTGAACTCAGATGTGAATACAGGTGCGTGACCTTCCTCAGATTCTGCAACTGGCAACTCGTGTCTACCTAGCGACTCTTCAAGATCTTGAATCTTTCCAAGACCCTCTTGTCCTTTAGGATGTTGGGTACGTTCGATCAGGTTAGCCTTGCTTGTGCAGTAAATTGTAGTGGACGTGAATGCTTCTCCTGACTTGTTGTAAGCTTTGCAGGTGTAAATACCTTGGTCTCTGTCATAAACGTCAGTTACATCCAATGTTACAAATCCAAAATCATGGGTGAGCTTGAATCTGCTACCATGTTCTAGTGACTTGCCGTTGAAGAACCATTCGATCTTCATGTTAGGGTCTTCCTTTGGTTCCACGGTTCCTTCTAAATGTAAAGGCTGTCCCTCAACAAGTCTAAACTCTGGATTGAGGGGAATGGTCCATACTGGCTTTCCGAATTCTTTTTCAGGAGCTGAAGGTTGTCTCCTGTACTTTCCAGCAACTGCCTCTTCAACTTCCTCTACCTTTTCCAAACCAGCTTTGCCTTGAGGATGCTGTGTATCCAGGTAGATGCTCTTTTTAGCAATGCAACGTAGTGATCCCGATGTCGTAGCTGAACCCTTGCTGTTAGTAGCTTTACAAGTGTATATGCCAGAATTTTCTTCGTAGGTATTTGTGATGTCCAAAGCAACATATCCAAAATCGTAGGTTGACTTGTATTTGGCACCACTCGGTAGTGGTTTGCCATTTACGAACCATTCAATTTTAAGAGTGGGATCTTTGGAAGGTTCGACATTACATTCAAAGTGAACATTGTCTCCTTCCATACACTCGATATTGTTTAAGTGAGTGATGAAGATAGGTAGTTCATAGGTGGGTTCAGGAGCCTCAGGACGTCCTTCCGATGGTCTTTCCAAAGCTTCAAGCTTCGGAAGAGCATCAGGATGTAAGGTTTGTCCCAATAGCCAGTGATGTCCTTCAATCTTGAGAGAACAAGTTGAGATGGCTTCACCAAGCTTGTTAGTTGCCTTGCAGGTGTATATAGCAGAATCATCATCTCTCAATCCGTTGATGGATAATGTGACTAGACCGAAGTCGAATGTGCTCTTGAGTCTAGTGCCAGTTGCTAAAGAAATGCCGTTCTTAAACCATTCAATACGAAGGTTAGGATCTGCTCTAGGCTCTACTTGAGCTTCAAGGTATACGTGCTGACCTTCAACTAAGTTGTCGTAGCTCTTCAGATGCGTTGTAAATACAGGTGGTTGTTGTGGGGTGGTGTCAACGAACATTTCAGGTACTTTGTTCATTTCAGCTTCCTTTAACTGAATTTTCTGCCATGCATCAGGCTGCAATGGTTCCCCAATGATGCTAGATTTCGGCTTAACTTTAAGTGATATGGAAGACACAGCTTCACCGGCTTTGTTAATGGCCTTGCACATGTACACACCAGAATCTTCTTTGACAGTTGACATAATATCAAGAGTGACGAATCCAAAGTCATGGGTGACCTTGAACCTGGAGCCAAGCTTCAATTCGACTCCGTTGACATACCACTCAAATCTCAAGTTAGGATCACCGACTGGTACTACACGGGCTTCATAATGGGCATGTTGGCCTTCCCATAGCTCTGTTGGACCAGTAAGCAGTTGAGTGAAGATGGGTTTCTCAAACTCGCGCTCAGGCTCTTCTGGTCTTGGTGCGTGAGGTTGTTCAAGCTGGGCTATCTTACGTTGAGCTTCTGGGTGTTGGGTCTCCAACTGGATGCTGGCCTTGGCTGTAAAGAGAAGAATATTCAAGTTTATTATTGATGCATAGAGAGGTAGAACATTTGAGGAAGGTGATGCTCTGGTCAAATGTCTTGGTTGCAGGATTCCATGGAGCAGATATTTAACTTACGATCGACATACTAGAGTGGAGTGAGCAAGTATGACAAGAGCATTTTATGTCCATTGGGTTTTAAGGATTATTTGAGAGTCAAGTAAAGGGAACACTTACTTCTAACTTTCATAGATGCAGTCGTGACAGCTTCTCCGAGTGGATTCGTAGCTCTGCAGATATAAACACCTTCATCTCTATCTGTTACCTGGCGGATATCCAAAGAGACGAAACCAAAGTCATGTACTTTGGTGATACGAGAGCTATCTTCTAATGGTTTCTCATTTCTGAACCACTCAACCTTGAGTGTCGGATCTCCAACAGGGATCAAACGGCATTCAAAGTGGGCGGTTTGTCCTTCTGAGATGAAGTCTATGTTTTGGAGTGGTTGAGTGAAGACTGGTCTTTGTCTGGTTACAGGTTCGTCGACTTCTGGACGCTTGTAGGCTTGGTGCTCCTCTAGTTGCCTGATCTTGTCTAAACCTAAAGATTTAATAAAATACTGGTTAAGTAGGAAGTAAAATTGGCCAGTTGGGAAGGATTAAGCAGGTGAAGGATTTAAAAAAGTGTTGGCCATTTATAGGCGCCTCGTTAGACTTTAGGATTTTGGACCCTGACAAATTTTATCTGAGTTCAAAATCTGCTGTACCACAAGGTATATTAATTTCTATGAATCTATTTATGTAAATACTAACCTTCTGGTCTTTGTGACTCCATGATGATGCTATCCTTGGCAATAACCCTCAGGTTGATGGAAGATACGCATTGTCCCATATTGTTGATTGCTTTAACGGAGTACTCTCCTGCATCTTCTGGAGCTGCGTGACCAATGTCCAACGCAATGTATCCAAAATCGAACGTGATATGGAATCTATTAGCAGACGGAAGAGGCTTTCCGTTGTGGTAGAACTCTATCCTTAGATTGGCGTCGTGAATGGGCTTCACTTGGGCTTCAAAGTGAGCGGTTTGTCCTTCATAGATTTCAGTTGTACCACGTAATTCCGTTACGAACCGTGGTGGTTCCGCAGGTGGTTCCTCGATCTCCAAGCGAGCTGGATGTCCTTGGGCTTCCAGTTCTCTGATTTTTTCGAGACCTTCTGGGTGGTGAGTATCAAGTAGGATGCTCTTTCTGCCTCCTACTCTAATTGTACAGGTATTGACAGCCTCTCCAACGAGGTTAGTGGCCTTACACATATAGGTACCACTATCTTCAGGGTAAGCGTAGAGAATATCGAGAGCGACATAGCCAAAGTCATGCGTGGTACGGAAACGATGTCCAGCACGTAGCTTAACACCATTGACAAACCATTCGATCTTCAGGTTCGCGTCATTAACGGGCTCCACTCTTGTTTCAAGATGGGCATGCTCTCCTTCCTTGAGATTTTCCAAGCTGACGAGTGGAGTGAGGAAGACCGGTTTCTGTGGAGGAGCTTCGACTTCTTCCTTCCTCGGTCTTTCATAGCTCTCAAGTTGACGGATCTTGGTGAGACGTTGCTCATCGAGGGTGTCCAATTCCAGGCCTGATTTGCCGATAACTGTCACTCCAGCAGTTGTGACGGCTTCACCTACTGCATTTCTTGCACGGCACATGTAGGTACCGCTGTCTTCAGCGTAGGCATATAGGATGTCCAGGGCTACGTAGCCGAAGTCATAAGTGGTCTTGAACCTAAAAATAAAATAAGTTATAAGTGATGAGACAAACAACGACAGGAATGATTCTAGGTGGACAGTCACCAAATCAAATATAAAGTCAGTATTTGAACCTCTAAATGCTTTTTAGTATACGAGATTCCAAGAAATCATTGGAGGTGAAATATGAATCATTCTAGCAACACTGATAGCAGAAGGAGAAGGATATTACTTATCGCTTTATTAACTAACCTGTGTCCAGTTTGGATGGGTCTTCCATTGCAGAACCATTCTACTTTCATGGTTGCATCATTTACTGGAGTTAATGTTGCTTCCAGGTGCGCGCTTGATCCTTCTGGAAGGTTCTCGATGGTCTTCAAGCCGCGACCAAATTGAGGTTTCTCCAGAACAACTGAATCTTCATGAGATACGCGTTTGTATTTGGAGTCATCTTCTAAGTGTTGGATCTTGCGCAGAGCTCCTTCGTGTTGTGTTTCACGAATGATCGATGACTTAGCTGAAATGGTAATTCGATTATGTAGAGAAAGGGGCCAGTACCATAAAGTCAAACTTTGATAGGAAATAATGAATTACGGTGTTCTTACATTTGATGTTTGTGTGGACTGATGATGTGGCTTGTCCAATGCGGTTCGTAGCTCTGCAGGTGTATTCTCCAGAATCTTCAGCATACGCGGTCAGGACGTCCAAACTGGCAAAACCAAAATCGTACGCAGTACGGAACCTGTGTCCAGTGGTCAATGGTTTTCCATTGTGTAGCCACTCCACCTTCAAGCTAGAATCTGGATAAGGTTCAATGCGACATTCATAGTGGGCGCTTTGTCCCTCTACGAGTTCAGTGGGACCATTGAGGTGGGTGGTAAAGACCGGAGCTTGAGTAACGATGGTCTCCTCCTCCTCACGTCGTTGGTATTTGGAGTGGTCCTCAAGTTGACGGATCTTCTGAAGGGCTCCCTCGTGCTGAGATTCCAGCTGGAGGGAAGCTTTGGCTGCAACCGAAAAATCATTCGTTAAGCCGGTGTTCAAGTTATAGATGTAATATTCAAAAGTCTTTATGGCGAAAATTTGTGAATACACACTATGTATTATGCTTTCTAGACTTACATTGGACGAAGAGTGTAGATGACGTTACAGCTTCACCTAGGTCATTGACAGCACGGCATGTATAAGTGCCGGAGTCCTCTGGATTGACGTACTTCATGTTCAATGCAACATAACCGAAGTCATGCATTGTTGTGATGCGGTTTGCTATAAAACAAGAGAATGTTTGTTGAGTACAGTAAACTGAGGCTAACGTCACGCACTATAATGAAGAAAAGATGAAAATAAGTGTTTAACTTTTTGTTTTCTGAACAACTCATCAAAAAGTAGTTAAGTTGGGTTGTTTGTAGGTACTTACATGCTTCTATTGGTACTCCATTACGCAACCATTCAACCTTCAGCCTAGAGTCACCAACAGGTATGAGACGAGCTTCAAAGTGAGCAGCTTGGTTCTCAGCAACCCTCAGATCTTTCAAGGGCATGGTAAACATAGGAGCCTGACTGACACTCTCTTCTTGAACAGTCTTGCGTTGGTAGCGGGAAGAATCTTCCAATTCAGAGATTTTCTCCAAAGCTCCTTCGTGGACGGTCTCTTGGTAAATCGATTTCTTTGATTGGACATTGCATACAGCTGAAGTTATGGCTTCACCCAGCGCGTTTGTAGCTCTGCAAGTGTAGGTGCCAGAGTCTTCAGGGTAGGCGTATAAGATATCCAAAGCTACGAAACCGAAGCTGTTGGTTTCAGTGAATCGTGATCCGGACTTTAGTGGTTGACCATTGTGGAACCATTCTACCTTCATGGTTGAATCTGATACTGGGATTAGTCTACATTCGAAATGGGCTCTTTGCCCTTCTTTGATGTCAACGTTCTTCAGCGATGTCGTGAAGATTGGTGCCTGAGTAGTGATTTCATCCACTTGCTCATGCCTTTGGTAACGACTGCGATCTTCCAAATGTTGGATTTGTTGCAAGCCGCTTTCGTTTTGAGTGGAAGTGATGATCTGTCCTGTTTGTCTGCACTTCAAGTGACAGTTGACCTCATCTGCACCGACAAGATTGGTAGCGCGGCAAGTGTATGTGCCTGAATCCTCAGCGATCAGGTCTACGATATCCAGAGCTACGTATCCAAAGTCATGGATCGGTCTGAATCTGTGTCCAACTGTTACGGGGCGACCATTCTTGAACCACTCAACCTTCAAGTTAGGATCGGTCACAGGTTCAATTTTACACTCAAAGTGAGCATGTTTCCCCTCAACCATGTGTTCAAGGTTCTTTGGTTTAGATACAAACCTTGGTTTGACAGTTACTTGTTCATCAACAAATTCTGTTCTCTTATATCTGGACGAGTCCTCAAGGTACTGGATTTTCTCCAACCCACCAGGGTGTTGGGTCTCCAGAAGCAAATCCTTCTTTGCGATCACTTTAACTGCACAGGACGTGACAGCTTCACCGAGCTGATTTCTTGCTTGGCATGTATAAACACCAGAGTCTTCTGGATACACGCTAAGTAGGTCCAAAGCCACATAGTCAAAGTCATATGCCGGTCTGAAACGATGACCTGTCTTGACAGGTACACCATTGACAAACCAGTCTACTTTCATTGTTGGATCACCAACAGGTTGCAATCGACATTCCATATGAACGTTGGTACCCTCAACTGTCTCAATGTTATGAAGGGGCCTTGTGAATTGAGGAGCTTGGAGCACAGTGACATCCTCCTGCATCTGTTTGCGATATCTTGAAGAATCCTCAAGATGCTGGATTTGTTCCAGAGACTGTTCATGCTGGCTATCAGTAATGATGTCTGATTTACCAATAACCCTAACGCAAGAGGAGGTATGTGCAGATCCAAGCTGATTGACTGCTCTTACAGTATACTCTCCAGAATCCGCAGCGTTAGCGTGGATGATGTCCAAAGCAACGAAACCAAAGTCATTGTAGGTTCTGAATCGTGAACCAACAGTAATCGGTCTACCATTCCAGTACCACTCGACTCTCATGGTTGGGTCGCCCATTGGCTCCAGTCGGCATTCCAGGTGGATGTTTCTACCCTCAGACACCGGTGGTGGGTCAGATAAAGGTACCACGAAGACTGGCTTGGACTTGCAGAGCTCTTCGATGTCGTACTGTGGCTCCACGAATTTCGATTCTTCAATGTGTCTGGTTTTGTCAATTGCGCTTTTGTGCATGCTTCTGGTATCTATACTGGCTCGTGCTAAAAAAATAAAAATAAAAAAGGCTTTTAATCTTGCTTGGAAAGTCAATTATGTTTTGGAATAAATGTATTGCAAAGTAGCTCAATCTATCAACATTATTGTACCACAATGAATTAATTATTTCTTTGGAGTCTTGGTTTAGATGCTTACTTTCTACGACCATGCTAGCAGACAACTGAGCTTCACCCATAGCGTTTCTAGCTACAACTGTGTAGGTGCCAGCATCTTCTCCACGTACGCTCAAAATATCCAGTGCGACGTATCCAAAATCATGATACGTCTGGATCCTGTTGGCTGGTTGAACTGGCTTTCCGTTAAAGTACCATTCGATTTTCAGAGTTGTGTCACTCTGTGGTTCTACTCTAGCTTCAAAGTGGGCCCGTTGTCCTTCTACAATTCTGTTAGTTCCTGTTGAATACAATAAAAATATGTTATCATTAGGTATATTCTAATAATATACTAAATGACATATAAATCCGAACACCCAGTTTAAATGGTTTTATTTTAATAATATGTTGTATAAGTACTTATTGAAGCATAATAAGTAAATGATAAAAATTTCAAAATGATTGCACTGCTTTAAAGCCCTTTGACCTTTAATAATGTGCGGATGCACCCTGATGTGCTACGCATTCTCCAACGCGCCTAGGCATGCTTCTGATCAGGTGGTCAATGTCCTCCTGTGGTATCTCATTCCAGGCAACCACCAACTCCTCTCGAAGTGCTTCTAGAGTCTGAGGAGGACGTTGCACATTGAGCAATCTCCTAGCCATCATATCCCACACGTGCTCAATTGGGGATAAGTCGGGAGATCTTGGTGGCCATGGTAACAATGTGACATCATTATGTTGAAAGAAGTCTATTGTGACTCTTGCAACATGTGGTTGGGAATTATCTTGTTGGAAAGTTGGATCTGCCAGGGTGTCAAGATAGGGTAAAAGATGGGGTTCTAGAACTTCGTGGATATAACGCTGCGCGTTCATGTTGCCTCTGATGAAGATTAAAGGTGACCTGGAACCATAAGCTATAGCACCCCAAACCATAACTCCAACAGTGTGATGAACATGTCTTTCAACAAAAAACTGTGGATTCCTCCATTCACCACGTCGCCTTCTAACCCTGGCACGACCATCGTGCATGCCTAAACAAAATCGAGACTCGTCACTAAAGACAATACTGTTCCATTCCTGATCCCAGAGTGACCGTTGTCTGCACGACTCAAGGCGATTACGTCGGTGTAAGGGTTAGAAGGCGACGTGGTGAAAGGAGGAATCCACAGTTTTTTGTTGAAAGACATGTTCATCACACTGTTGGAGTTATGGTTTGGGGTGCTATAGCTTATGGTTCCAGGTCACCTTTAATCTTCATCAGAGGTAACATGAACGCGCAGCGTTATATCCACGAAGTTCTAGAACCCCATCTTTTACCCTATCTTGACACCCTGGCAGATCCAACTTTCCAACAAGATAATGCCCGACCACATGTTGCAAGAGTCACAATAGACTTCTTTCAACATAATGATGTCACATTGTTACCATGGCCACCAAGATCTCCCGACTTATCCCCAATTGAGCACGTGTGGGATACGATGGGTAGGAGATTGCTCAATTTGCAACGTCCTCCTCAGACTCTAGAAGCACTTCGAGAGGAGTTGGTGGTTGCCTGGAATGAGATACCACAGGAGGACATTGACCACCTCAGAAGCATGCCTAGGCGCGTTGGAGAATGCGTAGCACATCAGGGTGCATCCACACATTATTAAAGGTCAAAGGGCTTTAAAGCAGTGCAATCATTTTGAAATTTTTATCATTTACTTATTATGCTTCATTAAGTACTTATAAAAAATTTTGTCAAAATAAAACCATTTAAACTGGGTGTTCGGATTTATATGTCACTTAGTATATAATAAACGAATTTGAAGCTTTGATTCATATTAAATTCCCTCAAATCTTCTTTGTCATACTATTTCTACCTGCTTTTCGCAAGAACGGGGCACAGTTGGAAAACATACCTTTCAGTGGTCCCAAAAACCTTGGTTGCTGTGTCACAGTAACTTCTTCCTTGTCTTTTCTCATATACCGACTAGAGTCCTCCAGATGTTGGATCTTTTCCAAACCACCAGGATGTTGCGAATCGAAAATAATATCCTTTTTGCTGACCACGCTTAACTGAGCGGTGGTGCTAGCTTCGCCCATAGCGTTGAATGCTCTACACGTGTAGTGACCCACATCGTGGACGGTTACATCTTTAATAGTGAGTGCTACGTATCCGAAGTTGAAGAAACTGGTGATCCTGGAGCTAGCTTCCACGGAACGCCCATCTTTCAGCCATTCTACTTTTAGTGTTGAGTCACCAACAGGTTCCAAGCGGGCTTCGAAGTGAGCAAAGCCCCCTTCACGGATTTCATTTTGGTCTTTGATGGGTGTCTTGAAGACGGGTGGTTGCGAGCTCTCTGGAGACTCGATGACGTATTTCTGGTGCTGTTGTTGCTGGTAGGCTTCCAGCTGTTCGACCTGTAACGATATAAAACATGTACAATTAAATTTAGCTGAATATGTTTAATGAACATGAAGTTTGTCCGGGGATTGACTATGAACGCCTAACAGTAATGTAATCATTGACGTTTTAACCAAAATCGGGTTCTTGGGTACGAAGCTGGTATATAGCAGTTGGCGATAGAAGCTTATAATTTGCATGAAAAATTTACCTTTTCAATGTATTTCTGTTGTTCGGGGATGCCCAAGTCACCGGTGACGGTGGACCTGGCCAAGACCCTCACCGAAGCAGAGCTGATGGCTTCTCCCAAATGGTTAACGGCCCGCACAGTGTACGTACCCGCATCTTCGGCCCGTAGGTGCATTATGTTCAGAGAGACGTAGCCGAAGTTGAAGATGGTGGTGATACGTGAACTGGCGGTTATTGGTCGACCATCTTTGTACCTAGAAGTAACAGAGTTGTTGTTTAATATCTGACTCCAATACATTGATTGATGTTACAGACTGGACGTTTCCATTGTAGCTGGAAGGGATACTGCAGGAACTACTACTACTCATTAGTAAAATGGTATTTAAAAATGCTCAATTGCGTCCTTCCCCTTGGGGCTGCCACATTACTATGCGAGTTAAATTAGTTTTTATGGCTATTTTTTGTTAGTGTTGATACATACCACTCCACTTTCATCGTGGGGTCGCTGACCGGGGTGAGTTGCGCTTCGAAATGGGCGTTCCTGCCCTCTTGCAGCTCGCCCAAATCCTGGAGTGGACGGATGAAGTGAGGCTTCTGGTTCGACTTTTCGTCGAGGCTCTCCTGCCTCTGGAACTTCGAGTAGTCCTCCAGCTGCTGTATGTACTGGAAGAAGTTATCCATATTAGACCATTACTTATGATTGTTAGTTACTAGAAATATTTTCTCAAGATCATTAAAGAAGTGAACCAGACTTTCAGGAAGCTCATAGAGAGGGTTATTACGCCACAACTCATCGAATGCCTTTGGAATATTCAGATGCAAAATGGTAGTAATCTTGTTAAAAGTTAATCACCTGGTCAACAAGACTAGCTCCTGTAACTCAGTGCTATGCTCTAAAAGGCAAAGTATACATCAGAGGTCATCTGGGAAGGTTTAAAGGTGGCTGAGAATCATCTTATTGGTGAGCTTATAAGGGCCTAACAACAGGCTGATAGGAGGGCAATCCTGAAGGAATACCGCACCACCTTCTTCGAACCGATAACTTCTTTTGAGCATTGGGAGGTACTGGCCCCTAAGTATTGTACTCATATTGTCGCTAGATAAGCCAGGACCTTCCGTAACCGTGGTTCCATTACATCATTACTGATTTATCCTCTTTAAGTGCCTTAAGCATCTTGAGGACCTCTAATTTCATCTTGAGAGACCAGTGGTCAGGAGTCTGCTGATGTATTATGTAGAGCATTTACTCATTACTGATTACAATAAACTATATCATAGGTGAAAGTCCTAGATTACCTGTAAGCTATCTGGGTGCTGACTGCTCTGCTCGATAGAAGGTCTGGGTTTGACTTGCAAGTACGCGCGTGATTCCACGCAGCCAGTTGAGCTGGTAACGCGGCAAACGTACTCGCCGGCATCGTTCATGATGAGGCTGATGAGATCTAAAGCGATGAAACCGAAGCGGAAGACGGATGTTGCTCTCGAGCCTAGAAAATAAGATGCACGTTTACATTTTGACTTTAAACTAAACGAAAAAGAAATACGTACTGGCTGCCATTGGCTTTCCATTCAAAAACCATTCAACTACCATGGTGGGATCGCCAACTGGCTCAATCCTGGCTTCAAAGTGAATCTTTCCTCCTTCATATTGAATGGCATCTCTCAAAGGAATAATGAATTGTGGGGGAGGATAAATTCTATCCTCTTCTCCTGGGGGCAGATAAGGTCTTGATCGTTCGACATGACGGAGGTAAATCACTTCTGGACCAGGTTCGGGTCTGAAATTGAGAAATTTACTTTAGTAGAATCATTGAAGTAGCTTCAATTTATGACTTGATCTAGTGCCTTTCTTGTTGTAGACTAGTTTCCTCATTCTAAATCGAATCTTAATGCTGTCCACTCACATACGGATTCAAAAGGGATTGTGGACTGACGAGGCTATCGCATAGATGTCAAAATCACCACTTTCATGCACTTCTCTTGTTCGAGTCGAGTTTCAGTGTTTGTGTCGATCTACTCCGGTACTTCTGTGCTACACACGATCAAAACAACCGATTTTGATATCCATGCGACGGCTTCTCAATCCCTGATGCGCTCGGTATGTGAGCGGGTTTACTTGGAGGAGATAGATACTCACTCAGGTTCGATGACTTTCGTAGGCCTGGGTAAGTGAAGGCGTCTTGGTTCGGGGGTAGGACCTTGTGGTGTTTGCACAAACAACCTTGCCCTTGTAGCGGTGGAGCCGGCGACGTTCTGTGCAGTGCACTGGTACCATGCGGCATCTGATGCCTTCGCGCGAGAAATGTCCAAAGTGGACGCCCCACCGTCGGTTGTAATTCTGGAAGAATATGGTGTGACTATGAGTACTGTTGTAGTCTACCTCTCATAAGCAGCGTTTAGCCAAAAATTGGCGATTTCGCCCATAATTCGATCTGTATTAAAGACGTTATACATACGCTATTGAATAAATATTTACAAAGGTCTAGAATGTCCACAATTGAGATAAGAACTAGATTCTCAGATAAATCGGGTACGTAAATCACAAATTTGATATTTTTGACTGAGTTAGAAAGCATTTGAAATGCGTTCATTCACTTGTAGCCACGTAGGACGGAAATCATAATTTTTCACTGAGAAGCTGATAGAATCTTACATTTGTGCAATTTCATCCAAAAGGCGTGACAAGTACGGAGATCACGAGTATGATGTCCGTTTTTCTCTGTAAGACCCAAAAGGTTACATTTTTATTGTCCAAATAAGGCTTGGTGACATTACAGGATCATTAACGGCTATACTCCAGCGCCTGAAATTACCACGATATACGATGTTTTTAGTCGATTCGTAAAGATGTCACCGAATTGACCAGTGTGGAAATTCATCTCTTCTTCCTTAAATATTCAGGTTTTATACTCAAGTATCTCATCATCGTATGCCACTGCTCACGACACTGCATGTTAACAGCGGCATATGATGCTTTACGCTACTGTCTTCACTTTAGAATTTCTTTGATATTTCTCTGGTACTACTAACCTGCAGTCGGGTCCGCTTGCTAGCGGTACGCCGTCCTTCTGCCAAGTGATTCGTGGTGTGGGAGTACCGACGGCTCTGGCATTCAGAACCACCGGTTCTCCTTCAGCTACATTGACCGTGCTAAACCTCTCGACAAATTTGGGCGCAACCATCTGCTCTTTCTCGATAACATTTAAGTTGCATTGGAACGACGTTTCTCCGGATTTATTCCGGGCGACACACGTCACCACACCAGAGTCGTTCCTGCTGACGGATGTGATCATCAGAGCGTGGTTGCCCGATTCGTTTACTAGGATTTTGTGGTTGTGATCGTCGGTGACCTTGAAAAAAAAAACAGAAATTCAACTAAACCGTTGATTATCATCAAGGTGGCTCTTAGCTATACACAGGCTGTTAGGGAAGTAATATTCATAACTTTAAGAGGTGATTCCTTGCATTATTCAAAGCAAAAATGTTCATTATAACCTATGTCCGAAAAAAAACCATTTCGGATCAAAAAAATTCTCAACTTATTTCTTTTTAGTCATGAAATAAATTAATTTTGCACCTTAATAATTTAAATTCATATGTGTATTAGCGTAACATGTATCAATACATCTATTTATTAATTAACTGTCTCTAACAAAATAATTTTCTTGCTTATTAAATACAATTTTCCGAACAAAAACAGACAAACAAAATCTCTCACACAACGACGTACTCCGTCTGCACTGCATGTATCATCGCGTGTTGTTGTGATTACTAATACATTTAACTGTAACTTTATGTGATTTACCGATGTTTTTTTTCTTTTTTCGTGCATCTCATCGTTTCAAATTAGTGACCGATAATCGTGGGAATTAGTGGTGTGTTTTTAAGTAAATGTTTTGTACTGAAAGCTTTATTAAATAAAAAATATTAGCCACAAAAAATTGTGTAAAAGTATTCAATGATTCAAGGCATATTTTCAACAAAAATATCATATAAACGTAAACAATTCGATGAATCAGTTGCGGTCGTCGCGCGCTCGTATCGCGGTTGCGTTGCAGCGTTGCCAAATGTTTGAGAAAATTTAATTACTTACGACTCACTTTCCTCGAAAACGATTGATTTTCGGACATAAGTTATAATGAACTTTTTTGCTCAGAATAACGCAAGGAATCACCTCTTAAAGTTACGAGTATTATTTCCCTAATACCCTGCATATTCACTAATTCAACTAAGGCTTTTATTGATAGTGATTGATACTTGAAGTGCATGGATCTGATTCTCCCAACGAAGTACGGCTTCTCTAGTTACAAAAGATGGATTTATTGTATTGGGCTTCCTGTTTTGGAGATTCTAGACTCCGTTACAAAGATTTCCGGGCTTATTGTGTGGTTGCGGGCTAAATTGATTGTGCTTGCTTTCCGATGGTGTCGTCGGTGGTAACTCAGGTATAGCAAGCAAAGACGTTTTCGCTTAGTTAGTTAATTAGGAGTCCAGCTACTTACTTGTTTTCCATTAATGTACCACGTGACCTCAGGATATGGTCGACCAGTGACTCTACAGTCAAACCTGGTCATCTTCCCTTCCGTGATGTCTCTGTCTCCGCAGACTCGTACAAAGTTCGGTGCCAGAGCCTTTCCAGATGACTCAGTTTCAGTCTCAGTCTGCGTCTGTTGCCTGAACGTGGACTCATGGATAAGCCCCTCTTGGGTGGCCACAGGCTCAATGGCCAAATATGCTGATGATACTACGCAGCCTTGTGGGTTCTCTGCTAGCAAAGTGTAGTGACCAGAGTCGTCGGCTGTTGCTTTCTTCACTTTCAAACTAGCTTGATTGTTGGAGAAAGTGGATTCGTACTTGTTGGATTCCACGATCCTCTGGCCGTTCTTGAACCAGGTGATTCTTGGTCTAGGATTGGCGGATAGTTTGGCCGAGAAGACTGCGTCGGAGCCTTCAAGAAGTTTGGAGTTGCGCGGTTTTTGGGACACCTGAAAAGAAATAAAACTTGAGCAAAGGTACACCTCTATCACAAAAAACCTGCTTTGCGACATATTGCGCATCACATAAGATGTGCCGCAACATGTACACCATATTCAAAATGGCTAAGGGGCAACTGTTTGAACATCAACATATTTGAAACTATTAAAAGACTGACCTGTGGTGGAGCAGCTGGACCCAAAGACCTCTCTATCGTCGTCGAGACCTGAGAGTCCTTCTCGTAGCTGGACCTCCTGGTGATAGATTCTCTGAATGAGACTTCCCTAAGCAGCCTGTATTCGAAGGTGTCGATTTTGAACTCCTCGGTGATCGTACCATTGGTGTAGGTGATGGAGCTCTGGTCGTACTTTGAGAAGGCTGGTTTTGGTGGTTGCATTCCTTCTGGAGATATGTACACGGAGCAGACGGCTTGGCCGTGCTGGTTTTTGGCTGTGCAGACGTATTCACCTTCATCTCCAGGGCCGATTTGGTGGATCTGGAAGGTGATGTCACCTGGAAAATTGAATGAAATGTCATCTTGCTGCCATGCTCTTTTCTCTATGTGTCCTTTCAATGTTAGTCCAGTCGTTTCATAATTTATAGTAAAAATCATTTTATGACGAATTATTGTGCATTTAACATTTTTTGCGGGATGGATAGTTTATTCTAATATGAATTCACGGGAAATAGTCGAACGTCCTGAATACTGTTTTAAAATATTTGCATTTTTTTGTGCTCTTTCCAAATTCCAACTTTGCTACTTCGTATCTTTGCTATTTGCACCTCCAGATTGAACAAAATCGCCTCCAAAAATTGTTTTGACCTTGCATTTGCAATGTTTGTATTCACAACTTTCTTACAAAACTAAGGCGATAACAAAGGGAACGGTAGCATTTCTTACAGTTTGTTTAATTTCTTTATTGTGACTTTGACAGTTTAAGCGTGCGGAGACAGTAAACTCTGTTGCAACGTATTTTTGGATACCATTTTCCCGATATGGTGACGTGAAATAGTAAAGCGAGAAGTCTGAAAAAGCAGATAGGCATATATATATACAGGGTTATCCAAATTAAGTGTCCACCATTAGTAACTTTGTTATTAGTGAAAATACAAAGTTGTTTGAATTAGCAAACTAGTAGCATTTAAACTGGACATACTCGCAACTAGAAGGCTTTGGAAAACAATGATAAAATCAAATAATGTCAAACATTAGTGTAAATACTTGTTTATAAGCTTTATTGTGTCATTAATTTAAAGAAAAATGTTCTCCCATGAAGAAAAGTGTGATATGTTAGAATGCTATTTAGTGTGCAGAAAATCCTCCGTGAGAGCAAGAGAAATACTACAGTGAATTATATCCCGCTCGCATTCAACCGTATGAACGATATTTTCTGAGACTTTATCGAAAATTTAGGGGCAACGAAAATGTTTTTGCTAAAACAAGGGCAAAAAAAGAATTCATAATAAGCGAGGCCACGGAAATTGCAGTTATTGGATATTTTGAAGCTTATCGTGAGAATTCAATAGCAGATATTCTCAAGGACTCTAATTTCAGTTATGGTACTGTTCAAAGGATTTTAAAAAAATACAAATTTATTCCGTATAAGTACCGACCAGTTCAAACGCTTTTGGCAGGGGATCCAGAGAGAAGACTTGTTTTTTGCCATTGGTATCTTAGCTTCTGTCGCCAAAATGTAAATAACTTTCGTTACCTTTTATGGACAGATGAATCAAATTTTTCAAATTCTGGAATGTTTAATAGAAAAAACCACCATTATTGGTCAAGAGAAAATCTTTTGTTAGTACATCCAAGAGGCCCACAAGTCCGTTTCAGTTTCAACGTTTGGTGCGGTATAATTGGTTCAAAAATTGTTGGCCCGTTCTTTTATGAGGGAACCCTAACTGGTGAAAGATATGTGGAATTTATGTCAGAAATTCTGACTAATTTCTTAGACGAATTGGATCTTATAAGTAGACATCATCTGCATTTTCAGCAAGATGGCGCACCTGCCCACAACTCCAGAGGTACTTATCATTTTCTAAGTACTACTTTTAATGATCAGTGGATAGGAACAAACGACCCAATACAGTGGCCTCCCAGATCACCAGATCTAAACCCACTTGATTACTTCTTGTGGGGTTACTTGAAGAACCAAATTTACAAGCGAAGGTACGATAACCTTGACGCGTTAAAGACTGCAGTTAGGGAAAAGATAACCCAGATAGATGGTAGGACCATACTTAAGACAGTTCGAGCAGTTGAAAAACGTGCCCAAAAATGTATTGAAGAACAAGGTGGTGTTTTCGAGCATCTTCTTTAAAAAAAATTGTTATTGTATTTTGTAAGATTATAAGTTGATGTTGAAAATAAAGTTTGTCGATACAATTTAATTGTTTCAGATTGGAGGCCATAACTTCAACAACTTCTAACCTAGGAGAAAAGTTATTGTAAGCTTTTTTGTTTAAAATTTGATGCTTTAACAGAAAAAAATATAATATACAGGGGTTTCCATTTAAAAAAATGTTATTTTACTGAAAAAAATCAAAATAACGACTCTCAATTGTTTTTTTTTATTTCTCATTTTTACCAGCGTTAAAAATGCTACTAGTTTGCTAATTCAAACAACTTTGTATTTTCACTAATAACAAAGTTACTAATGGTGGACACTTAATTTGGATAACCCTGTATATATATAACCTGTGATTTTTGAAACTTTCTCAGAATAATAAAGCCACCGAACCAATACAAGATTGCCTGTATATTCGAATTTGTTGCTCCCGCAAGTGAAACTGTCACTCATACAAGAAAATGCTACGAATATGAACTGTAAGATTTTCTCATCGTATAACCGTTTTGATCGTAAACTGAGACAGAAAGGAGATATTGTCGAAAATTTGTTTTTGTTCCAATATGGTGGCTTGAGCGGTAGAAATATGAGATCGCAAGGTGAAAATTTGTAAATGACACATCAAAATCTATAGAACCATAATATTGTCACAAAATTTCAGGGGTGGCTCTAGGGGGAGCGATGGGGTGCCCCCTTAGACATCAATATCTGGCGTTATTCGACACGACCTGTATCGTGAGTGGGAGATATGATCTAAAGTAGCCCATCCTCGATCTTCAATTGTTACAAGTGCATTTGCTCTCTGAAGCGCTGCTCAGGTGTTTAAGTATACAACCGCTAGCCCCCCCCCCACCGCTCTTAAACCTAACCCCCCCCGACCATCTTCATAAACGTCAGTGCTGTCTGGGACCACCGATGCGCCTTTCCTAGATAGATCCCTAAATCCGTCCTTGCCTTTTTGAGTACCTTCTGGCCTACAACAGGGTCAGCTCCAGTTTCTATTCATCGCCCTACATTTTATATGCTACAGTAGGAATCGTTTGACGTTTTGTGCATTTTTAGTAATATAGTTACTACTACTATGACTTCTAAATTCTGTCGTTTATTGAACAGCTACCGTTTTCCAATAATTTTTTGCATGAACTAGTAATGAGTAATATCTTACCTGTTTGTTCGTTATACGTTAGTCGATGCTTCTGTGAACTGAAGAGTGGTGCTCCATTTCTCGTCCACGATATCGTTGGTTGAGGTTTGCCCACAACACGGCCTTCAAATGTGGCAACACCGCCTTGCGCAAAACGGTCGTTGCTGAAGACCTTATCGAATACAGGCGGGAATGCATTTGGTCCAAATCCAGGAAGTTTCTGGATCTGTTCTACTGTCATTTGACCACCTGAAATAGAGACGAACGGTGTGAATTTGGCTCAAATGTGTGTGATGTTTCATGGATGTCACTTAGGACAAGATATTCTGGCAAACGTGCTTAGCAGGCAAGGCAGCTGTTGAATGATGATATGTTGAAGGCTTACTCTCATACCACGGCAGAAAGCAATTTCTTTAATTTCTAATTATATACGACATTTATGGCGGAGATGGTTATCTTATTTTTGCTTTAGTTATTTGTAACTATCTTAGAAATAACAAATGTATATATAAAATATATATATTCTTTTAACGGTAATCTCGAGCTTTCGGTCCTCTATGGAACCATCTTCAGGAGCTGAAACACAAATATGAAGCTAGCTACCAATCCGGAAAGGATTTAAATTTCCAGACAACTTACTCGTCGCTGAGGTTGCAGCCAAATGGTGTTGAACCTCAGCGACGAGTAAGTTGTCTGAAAATTTAAATCCTTGCCGGATTGGTTGCTAGCTTCATATTTGTGATTCAGCTCCAGAAGATGGTTCCGTAGAGGACCGAAAGCTCGACACTACCGTTAAAAGAGTTTACTAAAGCCTAAAAAAATTTTTGCCAATTTCCCAATTAACAATTAATTGTATTTCTTGCCCAACTGGTTGTTGGCAATGGCAATGACTACTGCTCGTATATATATATATATATATATATATATAACAAAAATAGGAAAATAATGGGCAAAATCCGCAAAAAGTGGATTTGAGCAGAATAGGATAGGTAACCCGAGCGATACGTATTTCTGCTGGTTGGCTTCATCAGGCCCGAAATGAATGCACCTATGCAACTACAAAAGTAGAGACACATGCCCATACATCCGGATACGGGTGTAACCTGAGGAAAAAAAAAAGGAAAGGAAAAAAAAAAGAGACACACGAAGTCCACAACAAGAGCCAACCTACACATTGTAGTATCAAATGGCTAGAAGACCTAGAATTTTCAAGGCGGTTATTTGTCGCCTTGAAAATTGTGTCTCTTTTTTTTTTCTCTCCATCTTTGTTTCCTCAGGTTACACCCGTATCCGGAAGTATGGGCATGTGTCTCTACTTTTGTAGTTGCATATGTGCATTCATTTCGGGCCTGATGAAGCCAACCAGCAGAAATACGTATCGCTCGGGTTACCTATCCTATTCTGCTCAAATCCACTTTTTGCGGATTTTGCCCATTAGTTTCCTATTTTTGTTATATACCTTTCTCCGCATGATAATTTACTCTTTATATATATATATATATATATATTACAAAAGTAGGAAAATAATGTGCAAAATCTGCAAAAAGGATGGAAGTGGATTCGAGCAGAAAATAGGATAGATAACCCGAGCGATACGTATTTCTAATGGTTGGCTTCGTCAGGCCCTAAATGAATGTACATATGCAACTACAAAAGTAGATACACATGCCCACACATCCGGATACGGATGTAACTTGAGGAAACTAAGATGGAGAGGGAAAAATCGACACACGAAGTCCACAACAAGAGTCAACCTACACATTGTAGTATAAAATGGCTACAAGACCTCGAATTTTCAAGGAGACATCTAACCACAACCACGCGGCCGGTTATAGCCACTTGCTGTGGTACTTCAAGCCCAAAGAATCTACAAAGAGAGAAGGCCTGATGAAGCCAACCAGCAGAAATACGTATCGCTCGGGTTACCTATCCTATTTTCTGCTCGAATCCACTTTCATCCTTTTTGCGGATTTTGCCCATTATTTTCCTACTTTTTGTTATATACCTTTCTCCGCATGATCATTTTCTCTTTATATATATAATCTCAAAATTATGGAATTGAGAAGGATGATGCCGGAGAAGAACAAGAAGAGGAAGCAGCCGTTAGGCCTAGGACGTCCCATGATCCAGATTTCGACGCAGAAGGATTGAGTGAGCCCCACAAACTAAGTCAGAGAGACTTGAATGGTCTCATAAGAGTTCTGGACTTGTCGAAGGAGATGGCAGCGCTTCTTGGATCAAGACTGAACCAATGACACCTACTTCAACCAGGAGTCAACATAACATAATACACGACCCTGTGATTGATGAAATTTTAGACGGGAAAGAAAAAGAACCCTGTGAAGTCTTTAAAGGTGGGATAAAGGCAACTGAAAAGATGATAACTACCAACAGTTGTTGCAATAACTCCAGCAAAGGTACCATGCACTTGGATACAATATGTCTCTGAAAATGTGTTTTCTGTACTCTCATCTTGATTTTTTCCCTAAAAATTGTGGAACTGTAGGTGATAAACATGGTGAAAGATTCCACCAAGATATATCTGAAATGGATTGCAGACATCAGGGTCGTTGCAACGAGTCAATGCTCGCCGACTAGGGCTGGACTCTTATAAGAGATGCTCCGCATTCGGCGTACAAAAGGAAACGAAAATACGAATAGACTATTGTATGATGTTATTACTTGATTGAAAACTATTTTTTCCTTTTGATGATCATTTAATTTTGTTTTATTATAAGCTGCTCACGTTTTTCGACTCATTTTTAAGTTACTGTTGAAACGACAAAGTATCTCCAGGTATTGTGGATCATTTATATTTTTTGGCCCATTTTTCTGTGATCATATTACCTTTCTCTAAGAAGAATCTCGAGGCGTCTACCCTACTAGATCAATAAAGGGTTCTATTTGCCGCAATGTTAGCATTATCGCGAAACAATGTTTAAACATACGATTTTTATTTCAGAATGATGATTAAATCTACTGTATTCATTTTCGCAGGATTTCATTTGTGACATCATTTCATCTCGGAAAGGAACTAAGATGACAATTTTTTACTTCCTGAACTCTTACTCACCGATGAAAATCAAAAACTGTAACTCTTGCGATAGAGTCCGTTAGAGTCTTTTTAAGATAACTAACAGCAAAGTTGTTCAGACATGCTACGTTCTGTTCTGAAACAGTGTTCATTGATTTTGTAGATGTAATGTAAAATAATTATCTCATTTTTTTCATTTTTGTCGATGTCTTCATATTTGCATTGAATTTTCGGCAGTCGAAACTTTGTTGAAGTGATCTTGGGAATACGCATTCGGAAGACTTTACGTGTTTCGTGTGGCTTTTGTCGCTATATAATAACCTGAAAATTGGGACACGTGTTTTGGCAGGTACGTTCTCTTTATATCTAGCGACCTACATTCTCAAAAAAGCTTTTCAAATTTTTTCTGTATGCAACATTTCAAAAACGGAAACAAGACATCATCCGCTCTGTTTGAGTAAATGCCTTCTTGTTTTGTTTAGTCTATGCAGATTACAGTTTTGATAGCTGAAACTAATAGGAACTGGTGCGACTAACTCCCACTGACAGGGAGTATGAAAATCGGGACAGTGTATATTTTGGGTAGTTTTTTTTTATATTTGTAGGCGTACGCTATTTCGTGGAAGATGTTTCTGTTCCATTTCCAGTGCGCGGAATTTCGAAAATGGCAGCAACCGGCGTGCCTTAAATTGCGCCTTTTTAAAGACACAAAAAGGGCGTCAGGTAGGTTGACTCGGCACTCGTCACGCAACGCCGTTATACCAGAATAACGGAACACTTCGCAGCCACGGCCGGAGTCCGACTACCGAGAATATTTTTTTAGCTTTAAGAGCTAATGTACAGAGAAATCTACGGCATGTCGAATATGTCTAATAGGTCCGTAGAATTCCAAAGGTTGGGAGCGTATAAATGTACTGACATCGAAAAATTGTGATTAACACTTTCCACCCCCTGCAACCCCCACCTCCAAGTTTTTTAACTCTAAAACTTTTTCAAAAATTGCCAGGATTCTCTGAAAAGTCAGAAAACGATGTTTTAGCAATTTTTAGTTTTTTTCATTTTAGGCCTTTTCCTTTGCCGCCACTGGACCGATTTTCTAAAACTTCAAGGCTTTTACGTACTTGGCTTAGTGGTAAAACTTTTTCAAAAATTGCCAGGATCTTCTGAAAAGTCAGAAAACGATGTTTTAGCGATTTTTAGTTTTTTTCATTTTAGGCCTTTTCCTTTGCAAGCCACTGGACCGATTTTCTAAAACTTCAGTTGTCGAGACTGGGCTTATTAAGCATTATCAATACCTCATAAGTCCATATTCCTTACGTGCATATTGTCAGGATATAAAATGTGTTCTGGATCCTGTATCAAGTTCCGGAAGGTAGTTATGCATCAGATGACGTAAAATCATCTACCACTTGCAGAAATAATCGTAATGAGACCCATGGATGAACAACATTTTCGATAGTACGGTAATCAAACCCATGATAGAACTGAACATTGGTTACTTGAAGTTGAAAAACCTTATTCATTTGACCGCTGGAATTAATAAGCATCGATACGACTGACTGTCACTGAGAAAATTGGGGCGGCGTATATTTTCGTTAGTTCTTTTTATATCGGTCGACGTCCGTTTTTTCGCCGAAAATCTGTATGCGACTTTCCCAGCTCGCGGCATTTTGAAAATGACAGCCATCGTCCGGCAGCGGCGTTAAACCGCGTCCGCTCACGACGGGACCGATTTAGAACCGTGGATCGCGTTACGGCCGGCCATTTTTGGAGCAACTATTTTCGATGCACCAATCGCAATCCACAGCGCTGACTAGTTTTTCAAATTTTTTATCCGCAGTTCGCGTGGAGTTATTCGACTTGTTTTCGCATATTTTAATGTCAATTTGATGGTCATTAGCACGCACTAGTTTTCGCTTTTAATGCAATCGTTTTGTGAAATTATATTCATGTGTTATGATTATATATTGGGGGCGAGGTTCCCAGATAACCCATATGGACCTCAACATTTGCATACTTAGCATGATTAAACCAGTATGTTTTTGGGGGCAGATACACTTTTACAAAAGTTATCTCTCGCCGATGATCGCCCCCCCCCTGAGAAAAATTCCGGTAGGTACCAATGTTTGGAACGTAGCCAATAGGAAGATTGGGGCTTAGGGGCTCAAAATCCTGTGAAAATATTGCGGCAATTTTTTGCGTTTCATCTTTTCAAGACCAATTAATATTTGCCTAATTGTAAGAGTGATGATCTAACGATGCCTCTTCCTGTGCCTTACGTCCAAAAAACCATGCAAAGCAATCCCTTGGTCTGTCTTTTTGCCTGTTTGGTAGTCGTACAATAGGGCTAACTAGTCATAAATCGATTCTGTTTTAGACATAATTGTAGTAACTTGTTTCATAAAGGAACTACATTTTTGAGGGTATATGAAAACGCCTCTTATCAAGAGATAGAAAAATGTTGGGTAAGATTCTTTATTAAACGTCAAAGCTGAGAAAATGTAACGATGCTAAAGAAAGCCTTTAGCAAGAGAACGGGAGGTCATCCAAAACAACTGGACAGCTCGTTAAAGTAGGTCATTTTCCCCAAAAAATATAGCGTATAAATGTACCGCCGCCAAAAATGAAGATATACCCTTCTCCATTCACAACAACATCGAATTTTCAACCCCACAAAACTTTTTGTGAAAATGATCAGGACTGTCTGAAACCTGATTTTTTGCAATTTTTTGCGAGTGGTCAGTGGCGTAGAAAGTGGAATTAGTAATAATTAGAAATTTGCAGCTTTTTTGAATAAAATTTCTCCCGGATGTTAAGCACCAGATCTGCTTGGCCTTTTGGCTATAAGCTCAGATTGATAGCTATTCATTTTCCGTTAAGGAATATCCTTTTTTTTGGATCACCTATACCAATAATTCACAACTATTTGAAATACACGAAAAAGTCATTTTTCATATCATGAGTGAAAAACGAACGTTTTCAGAACATTTTGATGATTCAACATCTTCAAAAAGCTCTAAATTTGTTTTTCAACTTTCTGGCTACTTTTGGAGTTCAGTGGTACGATTTAGGAGGCAAGAGTTTTGGCATTTCTCATGACTCTTATTTATTACTAAATGCCGTGTCAATGTATTAGGCTCATTTTTTTTCTGTTAAACTTCAGATTGAAGTTTATGTTTTGGAATAAAACCACATTCCAGAAGGAAGGATATTAAAGATACCAAGCTTAATTTTAATCCTCAGAAATGTTGCAGGTTTCGATTTTTTACAAATTATATGTACTTTTTTCACTACTCATTGAGTATGCTACAATTAATGATATACAACTGAAGAATCTGAGATGATGATAACATACTGTATGATTACAAGTATATCTGGTTTTAATAACAGTAACGATTGCACTTAGTTTTGCACTATAGCTTTCGCTGGACCTTCTTGAATCACCTAGGTAATCGAAAAGCAACCTCGGAATGATACACATAAATATTTCCTCAGAGCTTTCTCAGAAATATATGTATTTATAGTTATATATAGTAGATTGTTTTTCAACAAATTTACGCAGACCTCTTTAAAATAATATATTGTTACATTATCCGACTTTCCAAACAACCGTTGTTTGTGACTAAATCCAAAATAAACGCGTCTCGCCAAGAAAATCTATTGGGTTCTATAAAAAGATCTTATATGATACTGTTTGTATGAAGTACTGTTTCCTTTCGTTGAAACTTAAAAGGAAACGCTGAATATTTGCTCGTTTTGGTTATGGATTTGGTTCGATGTTTGACCTCCATATTGGTAGACAATTGTGTACCTTGTGTGTACATTCACATATTCTGAACATGTCTGGCAAATTTATCTAAAATACTAGTTTTTGCAATGAAACTTTGATTTGATTTGTTGGGTCGCAGTAAATAATAGGCTATTAAGGTTCATTAGTGTTGTCTCTGCGATGTTTGTAAATTTTGACCTTGAACTGTAGGATGCCTTCTTACTGCTACAGGAAATACTAACACTTATCATTATTTTGCCTTGATGCAGTCGCATATGGAGAAACCTGATTACCGGGGCGCCGCGACGGCTATAAGCAGTTTCTCAGATTTTTGAATTGCCTTAGGTCAGCAGGACTGGAAGAAGCTTCCTCAGGAATATTTTCCCCAATCTCGACACTAGGAACGTATCGGTCGTACTGGATGTTAGAAGCTCGACAGGATGAGAGCCAAAAGCCTGACGGGCTTGTCTGGCAGCGGTAGAAAACAGCCAGAGACTGTTTAGAGAAGGGCCATCCACCAGTCTGGCAGCCCTCCTCCGAAGGTGTCAACACCTTAGTTTGGACAGTTTGTTTTATTGCATATCTCCTACCTCAGTAACCCTTAACAATACATTTTATTACTTCTTACATAATGCTCACTGTTACGCTTATTCGTAAAGGATCTCAAGAGGAGCTTATTTTTAGAATAACCTCATACGTTGATTCAAATTTAAATTAGCCACAGTGCTTCCAAGCCTGTTTCACATGCTCGTGTTACCGTATGAGATATTCAAAACAACTAAACCGAATTTATGAAAACTCTAAATTTGGCTGTCTATGAATAATCCTTGTAACATTATTTGCTTTTTATCTGCCTCAACTTAAGCGTTCTTAAGTTTTAGGACTTAACAAGCTGTTCGAAGCTTTTTCGTGGGATTTAATTATATATTTCGATAGATTTGACATTTTTGATGGAATTTTAGTAAAACGGGATACATGCTCTGGATATAGAAATGCCAAACGGTTTAAGCAAGCTCATGCAGTATTAGAACGCACTATTTTGAGATGCATGAATGTTTGTGAAGGGCCACAATTTTCATGCTATTACATTGATCACGAAAGGGCTTGTGAGTCTACCCTAAAGAGCCTAATCTTATCTACGCGTATGATTGTAGCCTGATGACAACTTTTACTTTATTTTTCATTTTTATAGATTCAGAAGCGATAGTAGTAGAATCTTCCACGAGCAACGCCGTTTTTATTGTCTTACAATAATGGCTTAGATGATGACATTTAGGTACTGTTTGACGTATCAGCTCTTTGAAGGAAGATCCAAGGATACAAAGGCTTATTTTCTCAAAACAATATTTTTATGAAATCTCTGGCGATAGTTTTAAAATTATCAGTGACAATCCATTTCTTAAATAATTAGATGACATCTTCAAACTACGAGTATATCGACTCCAAATTTGGATAGCAAAGTAATGACTTTCACAATTTTGACTCCTTAGCTGTATAGAAGTAGTAGAAGAAACAAATCATCTGCGGATTATACAGGTAGGCCAAGAAGGGCGATTGGTGCTTTTTCAACAATGAATGGATACGAATTCCAGCTTTTTCAAATCCGACTATTGAGATTTGGTAACAAGGGAACTGTTTCTTAGTTTTAAGATTATTCTTATCGATAACCTATTTGAGTTTACTTGATTGCAGTTAACGTTTATCTACAGCAAAACGAATCCTAACGAAACTTGGATGTTCTAAAATTGAGTACGCTACTGTTTTTTCATGAATTCGCGCTGTCATTTTTAGATCTTGCTATCAAACATAGCTTTGTATTTATATCATGTCTTTTTCGTCTTAGTTCTAAAAATCGCACGCTTCATTTGGCAGCTTCAGCTATGAAGCTATCAATGAATGCTTGGCGGAGAATGACTAGACATTACTGGCAAAAGCGTCGAGAAATTTTTGACATTCGTTACTTTATTTTTGGAACAAAAATAACCCACATAAATGCCAAGATTATATAAGCTCTTAAATGGAACTATTTCCAGCGACCTGAAATCTTCGAATTACATTTTTTTGTTCCTGATGTTCTTCCTTATCGGGAGACAATTTTTTGCTTTCGTTGTTGTGGATATTGCGATTGACTAGGTTTCCGGTTTGATATTTTTCGGCATAGGTAAATAAAGCAAGAAGAAGACTAAAAGCCGAAGATTGTGGTGATGAAATGGTTTGATGGCTCTAGCGAAGCTCTCAACCAAACAGCGCAAGCAAGACAAAAACAAAATTCCTAACCTGAATAGTGACCCGTGACCTGCCTAGTGACATGTTGCTCTGTCCTGGTCACCCTTTGGGTCTGTTGCTGTTGCTGAGTCTGCTGAGACATCTGCTGTTGCTGCTGACGTTGACTCATTTCGCCACCACAATATATTCACAGATTCGTAAAAAAATCACAAAAATCACAACACGTAATAAGAAAGTAGAGTTCGAGTGTCGAGAGGAAAAAAATAAAAAGAGTGTCTCTATCTCTAAGTTCGTTGCCGAAAGGCTCAATTGACAGAAGTTAAGTCATCATCCCCGAAGCATCTCGGAACCAAGACGTCGGTCGTTTGCGAATAGCGAGCGTTGAATGCGTATCGCGACGGTGGGTAGCGCTGCCGCGGTGCTCCTAGGGGCTTAGTAGGAGGGGGGGGCGCGCTGAGATGTTTGGGGCTATTTTGAGACTCGCCGCTTTTGCTGGCATGATACACGATACCGGGAGCGGGATGGATCATCTGGAGACGACGGCGGCGCCGCGACGCTTTTCTGACTCAGTCGCTAGGCGGTGCTGCCAGATTGTGAGGTGGTAGTGTGGGTGGTGAAGAAAATATTTGCGTGCTTTTTTAACGGTGCCTTAGATCGTCTTAACTCTGGGCGGCGAAGCTTACATTTATTACAAATCATTCGTTTTGCATTATAGATATATTGAATAGGTACAAGTAAATACAAAATCACCATGCAGATTTCATATAGTACTCGTATAAGCAGCCGGTTATCACAGGTACCTAAAATACCAGCACTGGCTTGATGATGCCCGTCTAATTGTACGGGCCTGTTTGACTGATTGATCCGTTTAATTTCTCTATTGTACATTTCTGTGACTACTTTTTCTCAGAGGACTTAAGTTGAGCTGAACTTAATCCTTTATGAACTCCAACCTGCTTGACGCCATTTTTTTTGACCTATACTTATATTACATCACGATAAAAATAAATTATGATAGCATTATATGCTTCAAATGAGTGAGCAGCTAAAACGGCCTATTATTTGGTGGAATTCAGCAAAACCACTTTTGTTGTGGTTGATACAAATTCCCACATCGCAAGTTAGACATTTCCATCAGGTGTGTAGGACTTTCCAGCACCCGGTCTATTTTGTTGCATATCATTTTATTGCTGACAAAAGCCTGAATCATAAGCAACCAGTAGCTATCGTGGATAGAATCAGGAGCCAAATACATTGAAAATCAATTTATAGTCATTCCAGAAGACCACTAGGCTGCAAAATAAGAGGAAGTCTACTTCAGTGTTGGTTTTTATAACAATCGTGTTTTCAAAGCTGAACAGCACAACCAAGTTCAAAACAAGGAAAGGAAGTGACCATTCAAGATGTTGGTTACATTTTTTCCTGAACTATACTTTACTATACTCTCTTTTTCACATCAAGACAAATAGTTTGCCAAATTCTTGGCTGCGATTGAGGAGATGTGTTAAATATTCTTGAAACATTGAATTCGTTACTTTCATGCCTCTAGACTTAGGTAAATTCAGGATATATTCTGTTACGACTTGTAACATCCAAACAAGGATGATAAACTAGATTGCAATAATTAAAAATAGATAACATAAAAGATTTACACAACTTTTTTCGCACTTTAAAATTCAGCAAATTTTTGTTCGCATGCAGAGTTCTCAGACGGATCTAATTTCTTTGTAAGAGGTTATTTAAATGTTCACGAAACCGCACGTTTTCATCAATAAACACACCTAGACACTTGACACTTTCAGAACAAGGAAGATTTTGATTGTTAATAGATATACTCAAGGAAGCTTTGACTTCGGCTCTTCTGTGATTTGGACAAAACGGCACAGCAGAAGATTTAGAAGCATTGACGGTTAGGTTGTTATTGGCTGAGTAAGTGCAAATAGAGTCAATGTCCTCGTTAATTTCCATAGTAGCAGTCTGGAGGTTCTCAGGATAAAAGAGTAAAGCAGTTGAGTGTCATCCTGTACATAAATTAAAAGTAACAGGGGTCTTAAAATTGAGCCCTGAGGCACACCCCAAGTGATAAAGTGCTCATTTGACAAAACCCCAAAAAGTGAGACGCGCTGAGAACGGTGGGTTCGGTATGATTTAAAAAACTGCAGTGCTATTTCATCAAAACCATAAAATTTTAGCTTAGCACACATCAGTGAGTGATCAGTTCTATCAAAGGCCTTGGAGAAATCCAATGAAACTAAGGTGACACACATTTTTTTATCAAGGGCCCTGATGATGTTGTCCACTAAATTACGAAGAGCAGTTGTACTGTATGATTTAATGAACCCAGACTGATGTACTGGGAGTATGTCACTTGACTCTAAAAAATCTAAGATTTGCAAATAAATGATTTTCTCCAAGATCTTTGACAAAACACTCAAAAGACTGATGGGCCTAAGATCCGAGAAATCAGTGGGCTTCCTGACCTTAGGTATTGGCCTTACTGTTGCTCGTCTCCAAGATTTAGGAAAGTAGCCCTTCTCAAGACACAGATTGATAATATGGGTCAAGTATAATAGGGAGAGATAGCTTAATCATAAAAAGAGATATACCGTCAATACCCTTTGCATTTGACTTAAGGCCACTCACCACAGTTTTGATAGTAGTAGGCTCAACCAGAGTGAAGGAAAATCTCCGATTGCCAAACGTGAAATGAAAAGGTTTTTTTTTCGAAAATAATGCATCGAACGTAAATCGGTCTTACTTTAAGATACAAGTTTTTCACCAAAAACAGTGCATAGTGTCATCGATATGATCGAAATAACACAATACAGGCTTGCTCATGTTTATGGGATCTTGGGTAATATACTAATGAGTGTATCATAGATCATTTCACTATGTCAATCCATTTTTTAACCATGTTAACTATCAAAGGCGGGTAAGCGTTTCTGGATCTACGCTTGTGCAGGAATTTTTAAATTTTCACGCGCTGAATCCGCTCTTCAACTTTTCTGGCAATATTCTGTAACACTCTATATTGCCGCTTTTCTGAATGACCCTATATAAAGTTGAATCTTGATGCAAGGAATTAATTTTCTATTCCATCAGATGCCTCTAGAGATAATCTATAATTAGTTTGTAGCACCCATACTAAAACTACAGTTTCGAAGTGTCTCAGATAGATTTAATGAGATGTCAAAAGCTGAAAATACCTGTCACAGCTATTTAGGTCTATTTTCCAGTCTAAAATACACAATCTCCATTTCATCGTAGCTGTATATTGGTCAGTATTCTGTTTTGACTAGGATATATTATCTGCTTACAAGTAGCATTAGCTAAATATTTTATATTCTGAACAAGAAATAGTTTCACGAGATATCAATATCGATTAATTAATATTGATTTGTGCTATAAGTAGTTAGTCGGGTAGAAACCGCATATCTAGCAAATAATTCAGAAAAATCGTAACGTCTGAATATTTTTGAAAAGGAGGTCAAACGTAATGAAACCTGGTTTTTGCAAATACGTCTGAAATGATTGACCTTCAGGGTAAAAATTGCAGTAGTAGATTATTGCTGAACCAGTAAAAAATATTGCAAATTGCACACCAAATTAATCCAGTCGGGATTATAGATCAGTCGGTTGCAAATTGTCGTCTGCTAAAATTCAAACCACGCAAGTAAGTTGAGGGAGCAATTATCGGGCTATATTTTATGTATCAGATTTTGTAGCAATTTTTCATTAGGCCCGGTTGCAGCCAAGCGGTATAAATTATGTTTAAGTTTGTATTTTATGGAGGCATCGCTTTACCGCAATATCCCAAAAATAGGTGTTACGCACTTCGAATGTTTGTTTTGCCAACACCAGTATTAAGACTAGACGACAAAAAGAAAAATTACTTATTTATTCCAAATCCAAACTAAATTTGTTTCCTTGTTTTACACTCTGTATTATAATTATAGCCTTTGATATATTTGTGAAGCCATAACTGGACATGGAAACAAGTAATTTAATGTTAAAATATTCTAATCGATTACTGAGTCCCTAATGCGAAATATCTGTGCTTTCCAGTTACTTACATATATCGGATATATTGCAGCATATAGTTTTCAATCGAGATTTTTTGAAGTGTTACTGTTCAATTATAAGCTGGGGCTATTTGTTGACTAGCATTGCTATTGGGCATATTCAGGCAGCCTATGGGAACGGCTATTTGCAACAAATAGATTCTGACATTGAATGCTACAGCGTTTTCATATTTGAACGCGTCTAGTTTCAAAAACTATTTTAGTATTTCCGACTAAGGGCCGAATCGTCAGTCGTTCCTAAAATTGTAGGACGCCTTTATGGCCTCCTTGATTGTCATAGTACTTTCTCTACTTCAGAAAGGCAGGGGAATTCCTATATTTCGTGTCAGCGTCAGCACTCTCCTATTGTGAGTCTATGCTTTCTTTTTGAATTGTAGAAAATTTCAGGCTCATATAACAGATGATATAAATCAAAAGCATGAACAATTTGATGCTAGATATTTGTAACATAACCTCAAAATAGAGCGTTGATACGAAGCACTAGAAAACTTTGAAAATCAATGAGGCCATAAAGGCGTCCTACAATTGTAGGAATTACTGACGATACGGCCATTAGATCCAATTTCGTATCTGGTTTCAAATTTTAAACTTTTCTCAGTTCAAAGCAAGCTTTTCGACATTTCGTTGGCACAAAATTTTGATATCAGGTGGCCAATAGGGTCTTGCTGCTGCTGCTGCTGCTATTAACGCAACGTTTGTCCCAATATTTAGTTAACCTATATATATATATAGGTGAAAAATTAAAGCTTCCGCCTTTTGTTGGGTACTTCGACAAAATTTAAGCAAAGAGGACTCTTTATACTTTTTTAATTCTCTCTAGCTTTCAATGGACTTTGCCATCATCATCAGGAGCTGCAATTACAATGATAACAGTAGCAACAATAGTGTAAAATTAATTTAAATTGACTTAACTTACAGTAGTATGTGAGGATGTTGCTAATTGTTGTTTACGTATAGGATGAGGGAAACGTCCAGTAACATGGTGAGAGCTGGATAGATGGTACAATGGTCAAAATTATCTATATATATATATATAGGTGAAAAATTAAAGCTTCCGCCTTTTGTTGGGTACTTCGACAAAATTTAAGCAAAGAGGACTCTTTATACTTTTTTTAATTCTCTCTAGCTTTCAATGGACTTTGCCATCATCATCAGGAGCTGCAATTACAATGATAACAGTAGCAACAAAAGTGTAAAATGAATTTAAATTGACTCAACTTACAGTAGTATGTGAGGATGTTGCTAATTGTTGTTTACGTATAGGATGAGGGAAACGTCCAGTAACATGGTGAGAGCTGGATAGATGGTACAATGATCAAAATTATATAAAATATATATGCTTTAATTTTTCACCTAACTGGTCTAGACGACAATGACCACGTCTCAAGTTATATATATATATATATATATATATATCGTGGTTATCTATGAGAAATTGCCACAGCTAT